ATGTTCTGCTGAAGGATGCAAATGTTGTCAAATAATTTCAGAAAGATTTTCTTTTAAACTATTCAACACACCAAAGAAAAATATCAGTGAAAGCTGGAATGATTACAGGCTGATTGTTAGCACATCTTTATTCAATGGGTCACCCTCTATGGATGGTGGTGGCTTGCTGGGTCTGGTTGAAAAGGTCAGTGCTTTTTTTTGGTTTGCTAGCTGGTGGGTCCAATGTGAAGAGACTCCTTTATCATTAGATCTTTTGCCTGAAATTCCAAGGTCTTACAGAACTTATTAGCACTATAATCAAGCTCATCATATTCAGTGTCGGTGAGTAGAAAATTCATCTTGCAGTGTTTAGACTATTGTTAGCTGGTCTGAAGCTCAGAATTAAGATAGCCAGTGGTTAAGAATCATGACTTTTTATAGCAAGAGCTATGGTTGAACACTTTAAAATTACATCAGCATCTTATATATCACGAGTTCAGCAACATAATGTTAAACGTTACAGCCAATTATGTCGCAACCAAACACTTTCTAGGAAACAGTCATTAATACAAGTGTATTGTATATTCTATGTTCTACAAAAGAAATGGTTAATTTATACCCCTCTTTACTGCAAAAATGCATTTGTCTCAAGCACCTGTGAATGGTCCAACCACATAGTTTTTATGGGGAAATGTATATACAGACCCCTCATCTTACTTATCACTGACAGTAGTCTTACCAGTCAGGAAATATAGCCATCCCACATATATTTGAGTTTCTTCTGCCACTGCCTGTTCTTGAGGAGTGGTGCAGCTACAATATGAAACGGCAGAGAGGGGTAAGAAGTACAAATTAATTCCGTCCATTAGTTACTGAAATTAAGCAAAATATTTTATAAGTGAACGGTACTTCTAACTTTGAAGGTTAGTGATTTGTTTGCTCACAAAAATAACTTACTTTTTGACAAGCTACCTATATATTCCAAATAGATAAATAAATAATTATGCTTGATTTCACAAATACACTTTGTACTCAACTTTTTCAAGTGTCAAGATTTCCACAAAAAGGTGTTTCCTATCATGCAATTTACTGAATGTCTGATTGTGTTTAATATACAGTTGCACCTATGGAAAATGGTGCATAATAAAGAGAAGGTCCATGAAGTTATTAATAAGACTATGATAACAGCAGAAACTTTTCCCTCTAAAAATGTTTTATGAAAATTCAAAATCATTAACAGTTTTTCAAAAAGTCACTCCTTGTGTGTTTGCACATGATCACTAGTCACTTCTGTGAACATCTTCCATGAAACACAATGACATTGCTTTTACATCCCATTAATCAGACACCATGTTGTTAAAGCTGAGTGCATTATTAGATAAGTGATTACTGAAGCTCCTGCACAGTCCAGGAGTACACTACATTGTGTTGTTATCACCCTCTGTAGAATTCTCCAAGTCTGCTTGACAGAGCTTGGGTCAGAAAATATTGCTGACTATTCCATTCTTTTAGTTGGTTCTTGTTCGACATAAGCAGTGAGGATCCTGCTAAATGTGGACAGGCATTGTCATTATCCAAAATTAGCATAAGATTGCATTATCAGATGGAGAATCTCATCTTAGTACCTAAATGCAGTGAAGGTATTGTTCTGAATGATGTGGGGTACATCCTTTTCTGTATAGTGATTACAGACAATACCATGACATATGCACTGTGTGTATTGTCTTCTACAATAAGAGGTAACCATAAATGTTCACCACATTGTCCTTATACCCTGACATGCTTGTCAGTATACTGAAGACATAATCTGGGTTCATCATTTAAGAGGACTAGCATTCAGTTTGGTAGTTTGGGGAAGTTGTGTTTCACTTGTATGGCAAGTAGTATGGAGGTTATGTTTAGGTCCTTCAGTTGCTTCTCCTGGCATTCCTGATTTTTATGCCCATCCAAGTAGAATTTTCACCACTCATGTTGTTTGTTGGCACTACTGCTGTAATATCCTTGATCACTGTTGAATCCAGACATTAAGGAATAGACATTCTCTCACAAGTGGTTGAGTTAATTCATCTAGTTTTCCATGTTGCTGATCCAAGTGATGCTATTCATCAAAGTTATGCTCTTACAGCACTAGTGAACACCTTAAGCTAATCTGCAAGTCACATTTGGCTCTCTCAAACACCCTCAATGGCTGTGAGACCCCCTTTACCAATCATAAGCCAAAACATTGTTTATTTTAATAAAAGTAAGCATTGGTACCAAATGTGTAATCATATATTTCAGATGTTTAAAGTTCATCAGCTATATTAGTAATGTATGGCCCACTCAAATCATAAACTTTCTATCATACAAATAGTGGTTGTAATGCTGACAAGTACTACATCTGCAAGCAGCTCCTTCTTTCTTGTGCAGTGTCATTCTTCAGAAGCTCTTAATAAAGAGCTTGCTCCATATCAACTTGCAGCTATAACAAAACCCTTTCAATCTTATTATCATTGGCATCAGTATCCAGGATCAATGGGCAATTATGATGAAAATTAGGTAGGACTAGGGCTCTGATCTAGCCTATATTTTAGGCACTGGGTTGCTTTCTCACATTCTTCTGTCCATCAAATTTGCATCAGTCAAACAGACAAGGTGTGACTATCTTGTAGAAATTGGCCACCAGTTGTTCATATTACGGCACTAAGTATAGAAAACTGTGGTCTTATAATTTGGTCTTTTCATGAAATTGGTGGACATTCAACTCTTGCCTACTGTTTAATCAAGAAAATTCAGTTAGCCCACACTTCCCCACTTTCAGTTACTAGACTGCATCTTGAAACAGTGGCAACCAGAAACAGTTGATCAAAATTAAAATGTCACTTATTGCAGCCTTCTAAAAGTAAAATCCAACAACCTATCAAAAGCGGCAGGTGCATTACATGACCTGCCACTTTTATTACTTAGGGCTTCTGTAGTTCTTTTCAAGTGCTGAAAGCAGATTTTGATTTATTTTCTTCATCCAATATTGATTGCTGATAGCTAAAAGTCATATCTAACATATTCTACTAATGGGTATATACCAATATGTGCAGACATTTGTTTCTTAATTACAGACAAAATGCATTGATTTGTATGACCACATTCATCTGCTTAAAATATACACAGAATCTTGGAATTCCCCTTTTCTTCCTCACAATAACTACTGGATATGAACAAGCACTCTCTGAAGGTTGTATTATTCCACTCTTCAGCATCTACTTATTTTCATTTCAACATTCCTGGTGTTCCAGGGAAGTCTTTGTGGCAGTTATTTTATTGAATGGTCTTCACCTATTGTGCCATAACTACTTAATTAAATTATATAAGCAGTTCACAGAGTTCTTCAGCCATTGATTTCAAATACTTAGGAATCTCTGCACTTCAGATATGGCTTAACTGTAGTTTTCCAGCCACACAGCTGGTCTTAATCACTTTTATTTCCATCATTGTGTTGAAGACAATTCAATTTAGAACCTGAATTGTTGAATGTCCATAATTACATCACCAGTGCTCAGACAAAAAACTGTTCAACAAAGTGCATCCTAATTTGTGGACAGAAAATTGTTTTGTGTATTGATTCTGTCACTTCAGTAGAAAGTGACAATGCTCTAGACTATATACATATCTTAGATCACCACTATCACATTTGGAGGCACAACAAGCTCTTTCACAGTGTGAAACAGCATAAAAATCCATACAATAATGTCAAGCTTTCTGGTAGTGCTTGTATCCTTAGTCATCTTTCCACTATTGAGCAAAGTTAAATCAACAACTTCTACAAAAGTAACACCCCATATAGGTAAAATAGTGATACTGATAAAGCCTGGAAACCATGCATTTAAGCCCTGGCTGAATTTATATAGATAAAACTCGATTCAACCTGAGCAGGGGAGGCAAGGTTAACACAGAATAGATCCTGTACTTTCTACATGTTATAAGCTTCCAAAGCTCATGACATGAAATGGAATGAATTATGAACTATGGAATAAGGCCATTCTCATAAGCACTTCATTCTTGCACTTTCACCAGCTTATGGCTGACACAGGAATCCAAAACATGATGATGTAATTCACTTACAATGACTATGATAACCCACTCCAAATAGATGAAGACCAAGAGTAGGCCTTCATGTGCAGATACATTAACCAATGTGACCATGATGATATGCAGGAGTGGCTCATGCTACAGCTATCTGAGTTTAAATTAAATGCAGATATTGAAGCTTGGGCAAGATACAGAGAGTCTTAAATAAATCTAAAGATAAAGCTCCAGATCCAAATGGTGTTAGAATCTTCATCTTTGAGAAGCTTACAGAAGTCAACCTGTTGAAATTAGATTTGGAGCATCATCATAGCTGAGCAACAGGTAGCATCCCTGAAATATGGGCTGATGCCTTCATAAAGCCAATTTTTGGCTGAAAAAAGGCTGAGAATAGACATCAGTGTAATATGTGTAAGATGGGTTGTAACTGCATCAATTGCCATAAGGTGCATCATTAATATCAGAAGTTGGCAATCAGACTGGATCACCATAAACACTTGTCTACCTCAAGGATTACCACTATCTATAATCCTCTTCAACATTTACACCATAGATCTAGTCTGCCTTGACAGTCCAACTAGCTTCAATGTACTAACCTATCCTGATGATATTCTGATGTATAAAAAAGGCTTTATCAAAGAACCAAGTTTATTAGTGAAACTACATTCTTTAAAGTTTAGTTACTACCATGCTTCTATATCCTTTGGTCAGTAAGGATTCACTGCTGTGGATTCAGATAAGTGTAAAATAAATAAATTGAGAAAAACACTAATTTTTATTCAAATAATTTTTAAAATCTTTTCCACGTTCTATAATAATATGGAATTCTGAATATTACTAAGAATAAAAATTTATTAACACTCCTTATTTGTGTTCTCCAACCCGGAATACTTTATAATTTTAGTCTATTTTTTTTAAAGGTATATTTCATGTAATATTAATTCTTTAATCTGAATTAGGTGATGAAGTGCTAGAGTGGAATGGGCGTTCCTTACAAGGCAAGACTTATGAAGAAGTCTATGATATTATAGCAGAATCTAGGCAAGAACCCCAAGTAGAGTTAATTGTTTGTAGACCTCTCAGGTAACCTCTACAACTTGTAACTTTTCAGTAAAATAACATTTCAAAACTAGCAATGCTATAATTTAATTTCAGTTGTTTTATAAATACATTTATGTCAAACTACAGAAACTATCATAATAAGAATTATATAAATGATTGATATAAAATAAAATGAGCAAAAAGGCTACAATTATAAGAACAATCATGACAATCTGAAGTTCAGATTTTAGCAACCATTGACAATTTTGGAATTTCATTATTTTGTGTCATACCATGACAAATTACATGATATCTGGTAAATAATTAATGATTAATATCAAAACTAACTGGTATAATTATACTCTTACATAAAGAACAAAAGGAAATTCAATAATATTTAGTTCTTTGGGTGCACTGAAACAAACTTGGTTTTCTAACTTATACCCATTCTTCCCTTTTGTGCGGGTCGCGGGTTCGCATCCCCGTCCCACCAAACATGCTCGCCCTTTCAGCTGTGGGGGCATTATAATGTGACGGTCAATCCCACTATTCGTTGGTAAAAGAGTAGCCCAAGAGTTGGCGGTGGGTGGTGATGACTAGAAAACAAATATGTAAAATGGAAACATTTCTAGCTTTTATGGTTAATTTGTTTGTTCTTGTTTAAACACATAGCTAAACAATGGGCTATCTACACTGCAACTATACATCAATTTTGAAGCTTACTGCTGAGCCACCATCAGTAAAATTTCAAAAGGGAAGTTTGTTTGTTTTGTTTGTTTTTTGAATTTCGCGCAAAGCTACACGAGGGCTATCTGCGCTAGCCGTCCCTAATTTAGCAGTGTAAGACTAGAGGGAAAGCAAAACATTGTTCAAAGTGCTGAATTAGCTCTCTGTCTTACCAAAGGTTAGTGATATTAAGTTCAGTTTTCTGTTACTTAGTGATGTTGGACGAGTGGACTTAAGAGAAAGAGCCATAAGAAGACTTGTAGGAGCTCCTTCTGGTGAGAAATATGTTTCCAAACATTATAAAATAAAGAGGTTAAATATTGATTTCTTTTAGAAGTATTATGTTTGTATATTGGCAGGAAAGACTACAAACATGATAAACAATAGTTAAATTTGTATTTGAATAGGAAATTTTTGTCAGAAAATGTCGTAGTAAAATTTTAAAATAAGTTATAGATATTTTGTTGTAAATAAGAATGTTTACACTTCACATTATAAGGTAGAAAATGAGCAAGTAGTTTTGCATTTTATTGAAACCTATCACTTGTTCTGCTAGAGTATTGATAAATTTTAACTGCATATTTCCTTTGTTTTTTTTTTACAGTGTCCATTATAATTTAACTTAGTGTTTTCACTATATTTTGATGTTTAGGATATTATTTTACACATATGATAATTTTATTAATTTTGGATCAATAGATGTTTATTTCAGGACTAGGTTTATTAATTTAGAACAACTTGAGGCCTCCTAGCAAATCTTTAAAACCTGTATGGTTGCTCAAAGAGTCTGTCATAGCCCACTACTACTTATTGTTTCTTTTAAAACAATTTATATTTTCAGAAATACAGAATTATAATTTTTTGCTCTTCATTTAAAATGTAAAATTGAGTTCTCAGTTGTAGTTGTCATACATGTGCCCAGTGACATATGAATATTCTTTGTTACAAAGTAAGAAAGGTTATCCTCAATTGTTAGGTAGATGGCAGGAAACAACTATGTCTGAAATGTATATCCATATTTGGTTCTCTAGGACTTAATCAAATATAATATAGTACTCTGCAAGAACAATTTTGTTGAAAATAATCTGTAATGATAGCACTTTATTGTACTCTATTAGAAACAACTTTAGACCCCAGAATGCACAGTTCCATCAAAGATCGAAGACCTAGTGTCACCATAACATCACCTGGTTCCCCTGAAACAGTTCGTGTACGTCCTCAGTCATTAGTGGTAGGCGGAAGGATACAGGTAAGATACATCTGATGTTTAAATAGTAGTTCCACTTTTGTTAATTTAAGCTTAAATAAAACTTAAGCAAGTCAGTTTCAGTGTAACTAGTTGATAATTCGAGTAGAAGAGTTGTTATTAAACAAGAGCTTAAATCTCAGTCATTAGTGGTAGGCGGAAGGATACAGGTAAGATACATCTGATGTTTAAATAGTAGTTCCACTTTTGTTAATTTAAGCTTAAATAAAACTTAAGCAAGTCAGTTTCAGTGGAACTAGTTGATAATTCGAGTAGAAGAGTTGTTATTAAACAAGAGCTTAAATCTTTTTAGCTGATAAGAGCTTAGGCTTTTTTAAGCTGTACTAATTATAATTAACTGATGTATTTTCCATTTCTTAAGCCTTTTGTGTTTTGAACTACTGTTCAAAGTGATTTCTATAAAAGATGGAAATTGTGAATTAAATAAAGTCCTACTTATGTTGCCTTATTCTTATATGACCTTAAAACAAGGATCATCTCTGTAATCAAACAATATTTTTATAACACTAAAACAGTTTCTAAGTACCTTTTTTATTGAACTTAACATTGTTGCACCACTTTTAATATAAGGCCAAAGGACAGCAGTATGCATGCCATTACAATATAAAACATCTCATTTTTTTATTTGACTGTTCTGAAAGTTATATTAGAAAAATTCTTGAACTTTTAAGAAAATTATAGTAATTACTGTATGTTCATGTTGTAGTGATCATATTTCAAAGTTTTTTTAGTTACCTTTTCTTCTATAATTTTAAGTATAAGCAAGATATGAATTTCAAAAGAGAGTTTTCAGTATTAAATGTGATAATACATTGGCTAACTGAAGAACATTTGAGTCTAGACTATTACCAGTGATTCTATAAGATAGAAAACATTTTATCCCAGACACAGTTTGATAGTGTACGTATCAGTAGTCACAAAATTTTCATTTAATGGAGAAAAGTTGTAGAAAGTAAAAATTATTATTTTTTTTTCATATTACACCCCAATATATTAATATTTTGTGTTTATAACCTATAGTTTCTTGGCCTCTCAATTTCTTTATTTCAGTATAAGGTGATGATAGTGTATAATTTTTCAGCTGTAAAATATGCCTAAAAGTATACAAAATTAGAGGAATTCATATCTCTTTAATCACTAATATAAATATTGATGCATATATAGTCAGTAGATGAAACTTTAATGATAAAAGGAAGAACTAACAAATGCAAACTACCTAAAGTTATATTGCCAACACATTTTCCAACTTTTCTTTATCCTAATTTAGTTTGTATTGGCCACCTTTCTGTGGTAATTGCAACTATCTTCAGTGGGATCAAAACTCAAAACCTCTTGCACACCCAAAAAGTGCTCTAGCAACTGAGTTTAAGGACTAACCTATCAACTATTACTCTTAAGGAACTTTTTAACAACTCAGACAACCACATGTAATCCCTTTTTTTACCTAAATGATAAATGTTTCATATTTTTAGCCAATATAAAGGATATATCTGATTTACCATTTTGAAGTTTTCAAAAATGAACAAAATATCTAATGACGTATAGTGTTTAAGGTTTTTCATCTATGTATGTCTCTTTCTTTTAAATGCTAGAAAAGCTTTGAGATATATTTATTTATGATGATACCAGGATTAAGGTACCCTCAAAAGCTTTGTGGTATATTCAGGTGATATATAATGTAACAAAACATAGAAAAACCTTTAACAGAGAAATGCAATACATAATCAAATATTCTTTTAACACTGTATTTAACAGACTCAAACACATTAGAATAAGCCAAACCTTTTATATAAATAATGTATGTTTATTCACTAAATACAAAATAAATCCTTTATAAATCAGAACATATAAGGTGCTTCAATAAATTTCATTAAAACATAGTTAACGTGGTAGATTGATTTTTTAACATTACAACACCAGACAACCCTTTACAGAATCAGTGACCTATTCGTATTAAATCAAAATCCTTTACAAAACATAGAAACACATATAAAAAGAATTTTAATGCAACACACTATGCAATTAAAATATGAATTAAATCCATTAAGGTAAATTATAAAATTAAAAATACAATGTAGAAGGAACCCTTCAACAGAAATAGAAATACAGGATAGAATCAAAATAATAAAAACACACACACACACATATATATATACAACATTTTAGATTGAATTACTGAAGACATAGAACAAGATATATACACCTCATCCAACAGTAAGCACAAGGTTCAATTCTTCTCATCTCAATCCTAGCAGTAGATCCTCCAAAGCAGTGATACAAATGATGTCCTGGCCCTGGACACTTGATGGGTGGGTTTGCTGCTTTGGTCACTGTTGGAACTCCTTCTTTACATAGATATACTCTGGTAAAATGGTACCGGTAAAGTCAGTTCTGCCAATGGGGTTGAGTACACTAACCATATTTTCTTCTGGTATCAGTAAATCCAAGGTGGACTTGGTTCTTTCGGCTTCTACAAAATCAATGGGGCAGCTCAGCTCTTGAGGATCACAGAGCTATCCTTACAATTGAAGCAATGAAGTCCCCTAAGTCAGATATGTAGGTGAGCAATAGTCATCAACAGGTATTGCCATATCAAACATCACACCAACTCCAAGAGTCTTGAGGTCAGCCACAAATGTTAATTGTTCTGTAAAGAGGAAATCCTGGGTATATTGCTTTTTGTTATCAAAACCTCATCCTTCCATTGCAGTCCAAGATAATGTAGGCTTCAGCACACAAGAATGAAAATCATCACTGACCATTTGACCAAATTGGTCCAGAATTTGACCTTAAATAGGAAAAGTCCAGATTGAAAATGTATATGGTCAAAAGTTCAGCTAGGTGTATAAGTTGACAACAGTCATAACTGCCTGATTACAACCATTACTCTCCTCAAAAAATAACCTTTGATGACAGTGTAATCAACAGATTACCTTGATCAAGTGACATTTCTATAGGGCTCACATATATATTCATGTTCTAGTCCCTCATAGGACATGTATCTATGTCACCAATGAATTTCTCAGTCCACAGACTTCATTAGGTCTCCACTTGATCAACACCATTTTAGCCATGCTATCCTTTGTTGCCAATTTCTATGACAATGGTCAGCACATTTACACTTTGACCTGAGCTCAGTAAGAAAGTAATGGAGTGAAGATTGCAAAAATTGTCATATACACATAAGCTGTCTTGGGTTAGACAATACCAACCCTTACGTTTTGTCATTACGATGCACTAATACAATATTTTGATCATCTTTTCTTTTTAGGGACCTTCTTCCAGTTACATGTTTAGTACTAGTTGTATTGTGATTTACAAAGTTTCACCACACGAGTTTTACTTTCCACCTACCCCTAGTATACTTACAGTCTGGATTTTCTTAAATGTTATACTCTGTTTTCTAATGAAACAATTTCAAAATTTATAAAACTGTGTCTTACTAAGTATTTTAACCTGCATGATTGAAAATATTTTATCAAAACCAAATAAAACAATGGATACACCAGGTTTATATATTTTTTTATGATATACTCTCTGTTAATTTCATATACTGCTGATAATTCTACCTACACGAACATTTTGATTCAATCCAGTCAAAATATTTTGCTGTACTCTAGCCAAGAAATAACTGGTGAAACTGTTTTTATATTAGACTCAGTGTTAGTCTCTCCATTACTCTTATCCTTCTATGAAAATTCACTACCTGCCAAATATTTCAATGTTGAAATTTTAACATTCTCTCATGAGTACTCATGAAAAATGACAGGCACACTGTATTTTCAAACAATACCTTATAAGTTATTAAACATTGTTGACCTCATATCACAAAGTCATGCAGTGTTTTTATATGCATGTAGGACTACACCCATGTATTTATTTAGACATGTATTGCCACACATATTTATCTCTCCATTACACATTGTCAGATATACTAATAACTTGCAAAATACTGCCTCTGGCTCCTGGTCAATTTACTTCTTAACAATCCTGAGTTACCTTCCAAAGCTACTGCTATGTAACTATAATTTAGTAAAGTACTATTACCTGTGAGCTGTCAAATTTGCACATCTCTTTTCTCATCCCTCCCAGGATGACATCCTGGCAGAGATATAGGTTGTGGCATGTAAACCATGGGAAGATCTGAATAGCCCTACCTATTCAATAGATATTTCACTAGATACTAGTATATTTGCACTGCAGTGCTGGGATGTGTGAATGGTTGACCCTTGACTGGGTTCAAACCTGGTGCAACATGGGTACCTGGAAAAGAAGATCTGCCTAAGGTAAAATCATTGTAGCTGTCGTTACAGGTTTCTTCTTCTTTTGAGACTGGCTCAAACTTACTGCTTTGTATCACAGCATAACATAAACTGCATCAGTAAGTGTAATAAGACCTCTCAAAACCAGGTAAGATTGCATTGTGTCACTGTGTAGCCCTTCTGTGAAATTCCTTGCAATCTACTGAAGCCATTGCAGGGTAAGCTTTACTTTGCAGGTCATCCATGTAAGCAGTCAAGCTTTCTTTGGTATTCCTCTTCTGCACCTTCAACTCAACCTGATAGATTGCTCTGTTTTCTATTGGGTCAAACTTCTGCCACAACTCAGTAATGACTGTTTCCTCAGTGAAATCTAGGGCTGGGCTGTCTAAAACTCAGAACCTGTACCCCAGCCATTCCAGGCAGTTACCTTAATGAAACACTTCACAAAACAGTCCAAATCTTGTTTCACCATGCCTTTAAATGTTAGCAGAGTGGTCATAATCAGACATTATCCTCCCCAACATCCCAGCCATCACTTGACTAAAATGTTCACAATATTGTGAGCACATCATGGTGTATACAGTTTGGTAGGGCTGTCTGGGATGACCCTGATGCTAGGAGGAGCTGTAGGTTTCTACTCTAGGGTCTAGGGTAGCAGAGCAACAAGTGCACTTTGCAGCTTGCCCATCCATTCTGCTCAACCCCAAGCTTCGCCAAGGTCCAAGTCTATCTTGACAGTATACCTCCCAGTTCAGGGAGGCTTATTACTGCCCCATAATCCTCTCACCTTGCTGTTTGTTACCTGTCATCTCACTTGCTGGTGAGATAGCTGTGGTTGGCAGGCATTATCCATCAGTCTCTCTTATTTTTTCAAGTGACATTGACCAGAGTTGGGGTTGTATTACTGTGGTTGGCAGAAGTAGGAGTCCTATACAGACCATCCCACCTAGTCTGAGACCCACCAGATGTCATACTACTGTGACAATCCTCAGTTGTCTTTGTTTCCTTCACACTAAGGATAATCTTCAGGGGAAAATCTTGGACAGTTGTTCTGGATGAACCAGATATTGGCAGTCCTAGCTTTCCTTTATGAGTCAATTTGGTTGTAGCAACATTTAAGTAATGGACTTTCACAGCATTGGTGAAAGTTGTACATCTAGGAGAGAACTTCTAGACCCAACAATTCACCCTCAGTGACCAACTTTCCTTCTTGGTATTATGTTCTTCTAGTTGTAGAAAGTGACATTTTCTTTAACATAAAAGCCTTTCAAATATAATGCACAAGAGTTCAAGTAAAGGGCAATACAATATAAGCACCCACTGCAATAATGATATCCTTGTCATGGTACCAAAATTTTCTCCTACCTGTTTACTCTGTAGTATGTCCAGGGAAAGCTGAGTCAACCTTTGAGCTATCAGATAGGTCCACATGTTAACTGGAGGTTTTATTAAGATATCAATCATAAAGTAATACTGAATCATTTACTAACTGAGTCGTGATATTAAGTGGAATAATGAGATTGGGCACAAAGTGAAATACAAAATGAGCAATCTTTATTATCACAATAGAACACAAATACGATGCATTTACTTGCTGTAACTTATATAGGATGATCACTTTTATTGGATCTTCTATTTTCATCTGTTCAAGTTGAATTTATCTACCAGACGATCTAAATGTTGCATTCCTTAGTTTACAAAAAAGGTATCATATTTATCCAGAGTGCTAGCTCTACCCACAACTGGTCACTCTCATTACAACATAGGTAAGTCCGTAACCTCTAGATATCACCTGAATGGCCTCTGAAGGACACTATTGTCAACATCCTTGCACAACGTGTAGTTTTGCAACAGTATCACTCTCCACTGGTCAGAGCAGGTATTATCCACTCTAGAACAAAGAAACAATGGTAGCAATAATGCACTCAATTTAACATCTTTCTCAATCATATGTTATGTGAAACCTGCACATATAAAGAACATAGGAATGCATGACATATTCATATTCCACAGCTTCAGCTAGCAACTTCTGTAGTTGTTCTTTAGACTATATTTTTTTAACACCACCTATGATTTCTATATGCTTATAAGAGCTTCAGTCTTGTGTATAAATATTTTAAAGCTATTATAAAAAAAGTATAAAGTAAGAAGCTTGATTTGTCAGTTTTTTTATTAAAAACAATATGAGCAAGGAAATATAGTGAAACGTTTATTTTGTAAAACTATTGTACCTTATTTTACTACTTACAAATCATCAATGAATGAAAAATATGCACTATTCTTTTCATTGAAGTATTTGTTTTTGTTTTTACATTTATTATATTTTGATTGTTTGTTTAAGTTAAGCATAAAGCTACATAATGGGCTATCTGTGCTCTACCCACCACTGGGGGGCTTATATTTTGATATCATTTATCTTGAACTACATTGCACTCAAAGTGAAACTTAAATGTTGAGACAGCATAAAAGTATTCAAGTTCATTTTATTATTATTATTATGCTTCTAAATTTTGCATATAAGAAATTTAAATTTAAATTATTCAACCACACCATTTAATGAAAAAAATATTATGCTCTTCCTGAAACATATTCTAAAGAAGTGAAATTAGATACTTGTTATTCACTCTATTATTTTGATAATTTCAGTTTTTCAACCTCACTAATTATTAAACACTTGCATTTTGGGCTAAATAAAACTTAATTTTGCATGAGTTTACTTGGTTTTATATTGTTATTACACTAATTATGACTTAGACACAACCAAACGAAAAATTTGATTAGAAGTCTAGTTTTGTAAGCAAATTGACTAATTTTGTTAATTGATATATATAATTCAAGAACTTTCACCTCAGATACACTATCCATGGTTGAATACATTTTGCTTATATTTGTTTTACTATTTATTTTTAATTTCAAATAATAATGTAAGATTTTATAGATTATAAGCTACATAGAAGCTCAGCAAGAAAAACAATTTTGAAAGCATAACTTTATCAGTAATGAAACTCATCTGCTCAAGTCAAATCTTGTCTATAACTAATTCAGTCTATTCTATAACTAAACTTTATCTATATGTAGTAAAAAGAAAACTAACTATTAAGGTCAGAAGTAAAAAGTTATGTATAATTAATGAATCCAATTCTATAAAACTAACTGATGAAGTACACATAATCTTAAAAATTAATGTACAGGAAAACTCAAGATTAGAATGCATGGAATCATCATTTTGGTATGTTTGCCATTAACTCTGTTTTAGTATATAAGGCAAATTTACTCTATTCTATAAGTAAACTTGATTTATACTTAATTATTAGTAACTTCTGATCAAATATTTAGAATAAAATAAACATCAGAAATAAAACATAATCTTTATACTTAATGAAGCCAATTGTATAAAGCAAACTGACAAGGTGTAGCCTAAGTCATAAATCAATACATAAGAAAATTAAAACCCAAAAGGATATAATGCATTAAATAATCAGTTTCCTACTTTCTATAGTAACACTATTTTTGGCTATAGTCTCAATAATATTTCATGAGGATTGACGATCTCAGGATAGCCTTAAATCCACATACTAAGTGTAGTCTTTTCTACACCTAAGATAACCTTTTTATACTTAATAATGTTTTATCTCCTGAGTGATTTTTAATTAAAGATTTTTATATTTTAATAAAGTTATATAATTTCATTAATCTTTCCAGGTGAAACTCTGGTATGATGTCACAGCTCTCCAACTAGTAGTTACAATTGTAAGTGCAGCAGGGCTAACCCCTAGGGCTAATCAACAAGCCCGCAATCCTTATGTTAAAATGTTTCTTCTTCCAGACAGAAGGTGAGTTTCCAAAACTAAAAAATTTATTATTAGAATTTTAATTTACATATATGTATTCAAAATATCAACTGTGCTAACATTGTTTACAAATTACAAACAAATAGGCTTAATTTGTTTTGCATCTTTTATTTATTATAAACTAAAAATCTGATGCATGCTAGTCAGTATTTTCCATTATAATTACTTTGTGCTTCTATAGTAAACAGTTGCTTGCTTTAAAATTACTAGCGGCAGCTGTTTTCGCTCGTAATTACTAATTTTAATATTCATAACTCATTGAAAAAATTTATAGTGAGTATTTTCTAAAAAAAGTGTTCAGATTGTGCTGATATATATAATGTAATGTTTTTATATATTAAAAGTAGTACCCTTTATTGTACAGCCCTAGTGAAAGTCGTATTTTTATTGTGAGGAGAGTACTTTTATTTAAAATTATGTTCTGTGATAAAGAATTGGTTGTTGCACAAATCGTAGTTATTTTTCTAATTGTCTGAATCTTGAATACGCAAAGTGTGAAATTTTTTTATGGATTGTTGTTTGTGGTGCAATTTAATAGATGGCGCTACATTGTATATATTGTCAAAGTTACTATTATATAATTATATATATATATATAATTTCGGCCATAAACATTGATTCATTATAGTAAGATATTCCTCAATATTAAAATTATATTTAGTGATGTGATCCAGTTTAAGTGACTGGAGTATGTATGTATATCAATAAAATATAACTATCAAATAAAAAAACAACGTATAAAACTGTGAAAATAATAATTCAAGCCACAGACAGGAAAAATAAAAACTCGTAAAGTCCAGAGAAAAGCCTGCTTATTTAATAACTTTTCTTTTACTTCAAAGCACAGTATATAACTTCTATGTTTCAATGTTATAGCATAACTTAAGTGATTAATACCTATGCTCAAGTTTTTACAGCATTTATAATATTCAGTGTATGAAATGATACAATATACTGGGATCTTATGTTTGAAGATGAGGCAGGTGCTGCTGTATCTGTTGTTGCAAGTGCTTTGAATTACTGAAAACCATGCCCAAATATGAAGCAAGTTTTGAACCATTCATTGATGCATGTACTATAAAACACTGGGAAACCATGCTTGAATTTAAAGCAGATGTTATAGCATTAATGTTTGAAAGTGTTCTGAAACATTGGAAACCTCTGCTTGAAGATGAAACAAGTGTTGTAGCATTTGTTGTTGCAAATACCATAAGGCATTAGAGAAATAGTGCTTGAAGACAGTGAAACATTTGTTATGACTTCATTATTGTAACTGCCTTGAAACACTGATAAACCATGCTTTAAGATGAAACAGATGTGGTAGCTTAATTTCTGTAAGTGTCATAATACTGAATTCCATGCTTGAAAATGAAGTACATGTTGTAGTATTTGTTTTTTGCACTTACTCTGAACCACTGGAAACCTTTAAAAATGAAAATCAGATATTGAAGCATTTGCTATTCCATGAAAATGTATTTTTTATGCAAGTGTTATTAAAGTGTAAATGAACAAATTTTAATCTTGGAGAGAAAGAACATTGCTTTATAATGCATCTCGGCAGATGTAGCTGCTAAAATTACTTTAGTGTTTCCAATATAATTGAGATATTTTATGTGAACTTTGCTGTGATTTGACATTACATTCATATTAATTCATTTGGCATTGTGGAAATGTTTTGTCCTGTTTTACACAGTTTGCTTTACAACAATTTGACTTGGACATGACACCACCTATCTTCACTTAAAATCATGTAATTCCTGATGAGGAGGACCTCATGGTGGGAATATCATGAAAAACATAATAGACAAGCCAGTGCAATGTAGAAAACGTTCAAATGTTATTCCAGTTAATAAGTTATAAATGAGAAAATTGAAAATTCTGATGTTTTATATTTTGTGTAAAAGTGTAGGAGGACCTTTTTTTTTTCCAGGTGTTTGGGTCCTTGGGGCTCAAAATAATCAAAAGCAAGTATAAACACTGACTGTGTAATTAATCTGCTAAATACTTACTATGCATTTAGGTTGAATGGAGATTAAATAGCTGAGGATAGCAATATGCAACAGAACTATTTTTGTAAACCACTAAGATTTTTAATGAAAATGCAAAAATCTCGGAGTAGAGGAAGCTTAAAAGAGAGATTAAGGATATAATTTTATATATAAGTTACATATATATATATATATAAGTTATAATTTTCAAGAAAAAAAATTATGCTATTTTATACTTTGAAAGTACTTTAAACATTATTTTAACATATGTTTATGGTTTTTCCATTTTGAATTGATTGTATATTTTCAAGTGAGAAAAGTAAACGCCGAACAAAGACTATTGCTAATGCCAGCGAACCCAAGTGGAACCAAACCTTTGTGTATTCTCCACTAAGGAGGTCAGATTTGAAAACAAGAGCCTTGGAAATCACTGTGTGGGACTATGACAGATATGGTGCTAATGATTTTCTGGGTGAAGTAAGGATAAATAAACTGTTAGTTTTAATAGCATAACTAAATACATTTTTTTGATCTTCTAGATTTAATTCAGTCCAAGAATGTCAGTAAGAACATTGCAGTCTGCTTATTAGATCAGCATAGCCAAATACATACATATATATATATATATATACAGGGTGGGACAAAAGCAACTATACACTTGGTACTATACTGTAAGAATGTTGGTATTATATGGTTGGTACTAAAGAAAATATTACAAAAACAGCGTAAACTTGTTTAATTCATATTTGTTTTATGGCAATAGCTAGAAATTAAACTATCTTTGAAATGAAACAACTGTATAGTCACTTTTTCTTCACCCTGTGTAAGTTTTTTAATGGAGTAACAGTTATTTTAACAAAGAGTGTACTTACAGGAATCAACTTATACTATCCTATGTATAATAACAATTTTTACTGATTATGATATTTTTTTATTTATTTGTTAGCAGTAAAAGGTGTAAAGTTTTTGTAGATTTACATACAGCTTGCTACTTTTACTTACTAAATTTTAAAATCTACTAAAAATACCAGTCTTCTACATGCATTATTTTAGAATAATGTCAGGTAACTCAATTTACCCCTTCAACATTAGATAATCACTCTGCCAGTTAGTCACACCATAGTTACCATTGCTAAGGACAAATGCTCACTGAGCTGACACCTAATGAAGTTCCCATAAATATTATGTTATGTATCCCATTGTCTCGATTTTAATGCTATGTAACTTTGTTTTAGAAATCAAAGTGAAGCAATTATTAGTACTTCAGCAAGAGAAATAACATGATCGAGGCTGAAATCTCTCAAATTGCTTTCTCTTAAAAAAAGAAGAGTTAGGGGGATCTGGTTGAGATGCTTAAGATTGTAAAGGGAATTGATAGTGTTGATGTATCATGTTTTTTTTTATATTTAACAATGAGAATAGTAGGACTAGGGGACACAAATAAAATTTTGGCAAGGTAGGAGTCATCTTTAGCTAAGACAGTTTTATTTTTCTAACAGGGTGGTTGGCCTTTGGAATGAGTTGCCTTCAGATGTTGTAGAGGCAGTAAATTTAAGTGAGTTTAAGAAAAAGCTTGATAAATATATGAATGAAAAGGGCTGGGTTTAAATTTTTGTATTATTATTATTTTTAATCATTTTAATTTAGTTTTGAGGATGGAACAGCCAAGATGGATCCATAGGTCCCATGTTATGAAGAGTAACTGGATGGAAGAAACAAAGAAAGCAGAGGGTTGTTATAAATGGAGTTAAGTCAAACTGTATTGACGTGGGGTACCTCAGGGTTCAGTTTTAGGACTTTTGCTCTTTTTGATTTATATAAATGACATAGATGAAGGAATGGTCAACAGATTACTTAAATTTGAAGATGATATTAAGGTCTTGGGTGTTGCTGGCTGTGAAGAGGATGCTGCTGATTTACAAAAGGATTTAGATCATTTAGTGAGTTGGGCAAATAAATGGTAGATGGGTTTTAATTATAATAAATATCGAACTAGCTAACTTACCATTATCTACATAAGCAGTAACCTTTTCAAAGAATGTCAACAGATTTGTAAGGTAAGAATTTTTCCCTTAGTCCCTTAAATTTATAATGGGCATCGAAATGAAATAAACGTAGGTGTGATTTTCACACTAGATAAATACACTTAAATGAAAAACATTTGTTAGTTTGTTGTTTTTTTCTTATTCTGCCAGTAAAGTACTTGTTTTGATAAGTGCTTGAAAGAACAGAATTAGGCCTAAGTAACTTAGAACTAAGCTAAAAAACAAACAAAAAGTTTAAGTAATTAAAATCATAAACTTTTTTTTACCTTTCTTATGTCATGTAATAATTACTCTAGCGAAAAAATTCTGAAAGATTCAAATGAATTTTTGTCATATAGTTTCTCGATGTGGTTAATTTAATAAACAATTTTCGATACCTGTATGTTGTGTAACTGTTAGGCCTAATGTTACAGTCAAACGAGTTATAGATGAACGAGTGTGATTTCGTATTAGAGAAGGGGTCGGCAACTCTTCAGAGAAGATACGTTTTTTTTATTATTTGTCTAAGACCAAAATATTTCGAGAGCTGCAATATGCCCTAACAGTCTAACCTAAGAAAAAAAGTATCCGGATTTACAAAACTAAAATTATGGGTCTCATTCCCCTCGATGGACACAGCAGACAGCCAGAGAGTTGCAGGTTTCCGACCCCTGTACTAGTGTAATGCTGCAAATGTTGTAAGATAACGATAGCACTTAATAAAAAACAAATACACAGAGAAGATAAATACAATCAAAGAACTTAGGTATCGTACAGTCTTCCTTAAAATGCTGTATATGCTTATAAACATTAGTGATATGCGTAACATATGTTTTGCATAAATATATCTTTGGCCTTATAAATCTGGCACAATAATAATAGCAAGTCTTGTGAACCTGGTACTGTGGTAGTTATCCATTATCTATGACGTAATTCTAAATTATCGACCAAGAAGACTTACCATTAATGTTATTTTTCGTCTGTTAGGCATGTATCAGTTCATTTCGCACACAATTTATGCTACGAATTTGGTTTGTGGAACGTTACTTTCAGTTCACTGTTTTTACTCCAGAACCATTCATTAGCCACGCAGAGTATTACCCCATCTCGTGTTTTTCTGGTATTAAATTATATTTTAATACTACACCGCACCTCTTCAATATTAGGCTTTTTCTACTGGGCCTAATATATATGACTTATGTTATTAAAACATATCAGTGATAAAATGACATTTATGAAATAAGGATTCATACATATTTTTAATAATAATGTATAAATTCGTTGCTAACATTTCATTGTCTTTTAATTTTAATTTTATCTCCACTAATAACG